CCCACCCCTCTGCCTCTTCCTCCTCCCCCTCCCTCTTCCCTTCTTTCTGTTCCTCTTCCGTCTTCCACCCCTCCCCCTCCTCCTCCTTCTTTAATTAAGGTACAACTAACACATAAAAATTAAATATACTATATTTTAGATGTAAACATGGTAGTGTGTAGTATGTGTCCATTGTGAAATAAAAACCATAATCATGCTAATTAACGTGTCCATCACCTCACTTAGTTACCTTTGGTGTTTGTGGTGAAAAACCTCAGATAAAATATATGGAAGTCTTTATGAACTGGCCGGTCATCCTCATGCAGGCGCCACACCAATCTTCTCTGCATCATTCCATGTGTTCCTGAAGCTGAGGTCCTGCTGCTGCATCCCTTCTTCTGGTAGCAATTCCCCGCACCCACAAAACACCAGGCAAGTGACCTAGTCATAGAGTGTGCCGACTTCCTGGCCACCGGGATATCAAGGGATAATTATTAGATAGGGGATACAAACTAAGATTACCCAAGTCCCTCCCTTAACAACCAATCAATCGTTTCTGGATTGCTCTTCTAATACAGAAGATACCAGATAGTATTTCTGGAAGCAGTGTTTTTCTTCTAGCTCTATAATCATAGAAAAGTTGAGGCTAAGAGTAGATATTGCAGTATAGCAGGGTAAGCTGCCACTTGGGACACCCAAATCCCACATGGAAATACCAATTTGAGAACTGGCTATTCTGTTTCTAATCCAGCTTTCTGCTTCTGCATCCTGGGAGACAGTGGATGATGGTTCAAGTGTTTGTGCCCCTGCTACCACATGGAAAGCCCAGATAGAGTTCTTGGCTCCTGGCTTTGGCCTGGTCCAGCCCTGACTGTTGTGGGCACTGGGGCAGCAAACTAGTAGATGGAAGATCTCTGTTTCTCTCCCGCCCTTCCGTCACTGTGCCTTTCAAATAGATAAAAATAAATAAGTGGCCGGCGCCGCGGCTCACTAGGCTAATCCTCCGCCTAGCGGCGCCGGCACACCGGGTTCTAGTCCCAGTTGGGGCGCCGGATTCTGTCCTGGTTGCCCCTCTTCCAGGCCAGCTCTCTGCTGTGGCCAGGGAGTGCAGTGGAGGATGGCCCAGGTGCTTGGGCCCTGCACCCCATGGGAGACCAGGAAAAGCACCTGGCTCCTGGCTCCTGCCCGGATCAGCGCAGTGCGCTGGCCGCTGCGCAGCGGCCGCGGCGGCCATTGGAGGGTGAACCAACGGCAAAGGAAGACCTTTCTCTCTCTCTCTCTCTCTCACTGTCCACTCTGCCTGTCAAAAAAAAAAAAAAATATAATAATAATAAGTAAACGTTAAAAAAAAAAAAAGCAAAGTGGGGCTAGTGTTGTGGCATGTCAGGGTAAGCCTCTTCTTTCAATGCCAGAATTCCATATTAAAATGCTGGTTGGATACCTGGCTGCTCTGTTTCTGAACCAGCTCTCTGCTAGTGCACTTAGGAAAGCAAGTGGAAGATGGCCCAAGTGCTTGGGATCCTGTCACCCATGCAGAAGACCAGGATCGAGTTCCTGGTTCCTGAATTTGGCCTGGCCCAACTCCAGCTGTTGTGGTCATTTGGAGAGTAAACAGCAAATGGAAGATCTCTGTCTGTCACTCTGCCTTTCAAATGAATAAAACAAATCTTTACAGAAAAGTGGAAGCTAATGCTGAACAGAAATAATTTATAAACGAGCAGAAGTAAATTTTAGGAATTGAGTCCAACTATGCTTTCCTTCCATGGAGTTCAAACCTACCACAGGTATCTATTTTGCCCAGGGACTCTATCTGAAGTTCATTTATTCATCTGAAGTATCCTGTTTCATGAGGGACAGGCTTTCTGTGCTTTCTTTGTCCCTACAATTAGAGAATCAGCAATGCTAGGGGAGGGATTTTCCTACCACAAGTACATATTAAAATTGTGTGCAGAATTTTTTTTCCGATAGTCTGATGCTTGGGTCTTACCCTAAACCAAATGTTCTCCCCAAACCAGCAGCATCAGCATTCCTGGGAACTTGCTAGAGATGCAACTTATTGTGCCCCACCTCAGTTCTCCTGAATCAGAAATTCTAAGGTTGGTGCTCAGCAGTTCATGTTTAACAAGCCCTCCAGGGGATTTTGGTGTAGACTACTTCTAAGCGCTTTGCCTGGAAAAATTAAATCAGAATCTCTGAGGTAAAACCCAAGTAAATGTATCATTTCACATGCTTCTAATGTACAGCCCATGTTGAGACCATTGCCTCAAAGCCCTGGAAAGTCAATAGAATTCCCAGTCTTCATTTCTTGCACCAGCCCAAACTCGCCCTTTTTGATGCTGTCCCTCCCCAGGTTAGATCATCAGTAACTCTCCGCACAGATTTCGGAGTTGACTCCTTAATGCATTTCTGGCCTTGACCACACTTCCTCCTTCAGTCCTTGCCTACATGGACCACACATTTGTGAATACCTATGGAAGTAAACAGCCAGGGCCCACAGCATTTGTGGTCTGAAGCATCTTCTAAGAAACCCTCGCAGATGAATTATAAATAGCAAGGAGAAGGAATTAGAGCATTTTCATTTTAGAGTAGAAGTTCTCAATCTTGGCTATATTTCAGAATAATTTAAAAACTCCTGATGCCCAAACGAAATCCCAGACCAATAAAGTCAAAACTTCTGGGGTAGAACTCAGACATAATAATTTTTAAAGCTCCCAGGTGATGCCAGTTGGCTGCGACTCACACTCTGGCGGGAGAAACTTGATTGGAAACTCAATCTGGAACAAGCAGCAGAGGGACTGCTATGAGAGAGAATCCTCTGGTAACTTCTTTTGCTTTACAAAGGAAAAACCACATTATTTTCTACTTCTAACTTTGAACGACACTGGCTCCTTTCATACATCTTAAGTTGCCTGAGAGAGAGACAGAGAGAGAGAAGTGTAAGAGGCTCTTGATAACTGTTCATCTTGATGAGTACATGACAGTTCATTATACTGTTAATTTTACTTTTGGGTATATTTGAAAATTTCCATAGTAGAAAATTTTCAATTACATTCTTTTCAGAAGGGGAGTGATTAACAGCTTATAGAAATCAAAAGAAATATAAAAGGATACAATGAAAAATTACATGCCAGTATATTGGATGACCTTTGGGAAATGAACAAAATCTTAGAAATACAAAAGCTACCTAAACTGAGTCAAAAAGGAATAGAAAATCTGAATAGACTCAATATAAGTGAAAGAAGTTAAATGAGTAATTAAAACATTTCCAGCAAAGAAAAGCTCAGAGCCAGATGCTGCTCCAAACGTTTTTTTTTTTTTTAAAGTGATTCCTACCAAACATTTTTTAAAAGATTTATTTATTTATTTGAAATAGTTACAGAGAGGAGAGACAGAATGAGAATGAAATCTTCCATCTGTTGGTTAATTCCCCATATGGCTGCAACAGCTAGGGCTGGACCAGGAGCCACGAGCTTCATCCAAGTCACCCACATGGGTGGCAGGAGCCCAGGCACTTGGACCATTTTCCAGTGCTTTTCCTGGGCCATAGCAGGGAGTTTGATTGCAAGTGGAGCAGCTGGAACACAAACTGGTGCCCATACGGGATGCCAGTGTCGGGGGTTATAGCTTTACCAGCTTACTTGCTATGCCACTACACCGGTCCCCTACCAAACATGTAAATAGTAATTAACACTAATTCTTCTCAAACGCTTCCAAAAAATTGAAAAACTACCTATAAGGCCAGCTTTACCTTGATACCAAAGCCAGATAAGAATGTCACAAGAAAACAAAAGGATCAGGGCAGGTATTTGGCGCAGTGGTTAAGATGCTGCTTGAGACACCTGCATCCTGTATCAGAATGACTAGGTTCTGATTTCAGCTTCCTGTCAATGCGCATCCTGGGAGATAACAGGTGATAGCTCAAGTAGTTGGGTCCCTGCCACCCATGTAGGAGACCCAAATCGAGTTCCCAGCTTCTGACTTCTGTCTGACCTAGTTTTGGCTGTTGTGGACATCTGGGGAATGAACCAGCAGAAGGAAAATTTCTCTCTCTCTCTTGCTGCCTTTCACTAAAAAAAAAAAAAAAAACAACAACAACAACAACAAAAAAACTTATAAATCCTTGATTTGAGATACAACAAATACTGGAACCAATGCCACTCAGCGGGTTAACGCCCTGGCCTGAAGCGCTGGCATCCCATATGGGCGCCAGTTCTAGTCCCAGCTTCTCCTCTTACAGTCCAGCTCTCTGCTATGGCCTGGGAAAGCAGTAGAAGGTGGCCCAAGTCCTTGGGCCCCTGCACCCATGTGGGAGACCTGGAGGAAGCTCCTGGCTTTGGATAGGTGCAGCTCTGGCTGTTGCGGCCAATTGGGAAGTAAACCATTGGATGGAAGACCACTCTCTCTCTCTCTCTCTCTCTCTCTCTCTCTGCTCTCTCTGTGTAACTCTGACTTTCAAATAAATAAATAAATCTTTAAAAAATGTTAAGGGATGTACATGAAAACTCACAGCTAACATCATGCTCTATAGTATAAGGCTGAAAGCATGCTTCCATATATTAGCAACAAGACAAAGATGCCTGTCCTTGCCATTTCTATTCAACATTGTACTTCAAGTTCTAGCTCAAGAAATCATATAAGGAAAAGGGGAAGAAAGGCATCCAAACAGGAAAGGAATCAATAAAACTATCCCTTTTTGTCGATAACCTGATATAGATACAAACTCCTAAGGAATCCTCATATATATATATATATATACATACATATATACATATGAGAGATAATAAACACATTCAGCAAAGTAATAAGGTTGAAGATCAATATAGTTGCAGTTTTGCATACTTGTGATGAACATTATATAAAAGAAATCAAGAAAACAAGTTCATTTATAGTAGCATTAAAAGAATAAAATATTTAGGAATAATTTTAACCAAGGAAGATCAGAACTAACATGTTGAAAACTATAAACTGAAAGAAATTAAAGACCATAATAAATGGAAAGATATCCCATGTTTATGAATTAGAAGACTTGCTCTTGTGAAGATGATATTACTCCCCAAAGTGATATACATATTCAAAACAATCCTTATCAAAATCCCAAGCCCATGTTGCACAAATGGAAAAAGCCAGTTCTCAAATTCATATGTGATCTCAAGGGACCCTAAGCAGCCAAAACAATCTTGAAAAAGAAAGACAAAGTTGGAGGATCCATGCGTCTCAATCTCAAAGTTTGCTACAAAGCTACAGCAATCAAAACATGGTGGTATTGGCAAAGGCGAAGCATTGAACTGAGAGTATACAAATAAATTCATACATCTGTGGCCAATTGACTTTTGACAAGAATGCCCAAACAATTCAATGGAGGAATGAACGGCCTCTTTGACAACTGGGACTGGAAGAACTGGATATCCACATATAAAAGAATGAGATTAGATTCTCTCCTTCCATCATATGCAGATTATCTCAAAATCTGTGAGATAGCTAAATGCAAGGACGTAAAACTACAAAATTGTAAACTAGAAAACTCTCAGAAGAAAACACAGGAGGAAAGCTTCATGGCCCTTGCTTTGGCAATGGATTCTTAGATGACACTAAAAGAACAAGTAACACAAGAACAGACTGATTGGATTTCATTAAAATCAATTATTTGTATCAAAGGACACCATGAAATAACCCATAGAGTTGGGAGAGAATAATATTCGTGGTTTTTTTTTTTTTTTTTTTTTGACAGGCAGAGTGGATAGTGAGAGAGAGAGAAACAGAGAAAAAGGTCTTCCTTTGCCGTTGGTTCACCCTTCAATGGCCGCTGCGGCCGGTGCGCTGTGGCCGGCGCACCGCGCTGATCCGATGGCAGGAGCCAGGTGCTTCTCCTGGTCTCCCATGGGTGCAGGGCCCAAGTACTTGGGCCATCCTCCACTGCACTCCCTGGCCACAGCAAAGAGCTGGCCTGGAAGAGGGGCAACCGGGACAGAATCCGGCGCCCTGACCGGGACTAGAACCTGGTGTGCCCGTGCCGCAAGGCGGAGGATTAGCCTAGTGAGCCGCGGCCCTGGCCTGGGAGAAAATATTTGTAATCACACAATACTATAGAAGACAGTTTTACAGTTTCTCAAAAAGTTAAATGTGGGGCTGGTGCTGTGGCACAATGGGCTTAGCCTCTGCCTGTAGCACTGGCATCCCATACGAGTGCCTGTTTGTGTCCTGGCTGCTCCTCTTCTGATCCAGCTCTCTGCTATGGCCTGGGAAGGCAGTAGAAGATGGCCCAAGTGCTTGGGTCCCTGCATCCATGTGGGAGACCTGGAAGAAGCTCCTGGCTTGGGGTAAGCCCAGCTCCAGCAGTTGTGGCCATTGGGAATGAACCAGAGTACAGAAGACCCCTTCCTTCCTTCCTTCTTTCCTTCCTTCCTTCCTTCCTTCCTTCCTTCCTTCTTATTTGACAGATAGACAGTGAGAGAGAGAGAGAGAGAGAGACAGAGAGACAGAGAGACAGAGAGAAAGGTCTTCCTTCCCCCAAATGGTTGCCATGGTCTGTGTGCTGCGGCGATCCCAAGCCTGGAGCCAGGTGCTTCCTCCTGGTCTCCCATGGGGGCGCAGGGCCCAAGCACTTGGGCCATCCTCCACTGCCTTCCTGGGCCACAGCAGAGAGCTGGACTGGAAGAGGTGCAACCAGGACAGAATCCGGTGCCCTGACTGGGACTAGAACCCGGGGTGCTGGTGCCACAGGCAGAGGATTAGCCAAGTGAGCTGCGGTGCTGGCCTTCTCTTCTTGTTCTTAATCCTTGTTCTCAAAGCAAGATAGTATAATTTAGTGCTGTCTCCCACTTCAGGCTGAATCAATGGTAGAGTTGATTTTATTGAGTGTATAGTAGATTTCAGCCACTATTTGAGAAGCCCAGATTACAGTGCTATCTTCCCTCGAGGAGAATTTAAGGATGAAGTTTAGTGTCTAGTGATTATCAGATGTCAGCCTCCACATTGTTGTTTTTTGGTAAAGATTTATTTATTTATTTGAAAGACAGAGTCCACAGAGAGACAGAGGCAGTGAGAGAGAGAGAGAGGTCTTCCACCTGCTTATTCACTCCCCAGATAGCTGCAATAGCCAGAGCTGTGCCGATCCAAAGTCAGGAGCCAGGAGCTTCTTCCAGGTCTCCCACATGGGTGCAGGGTCCCAAGGACTTGGGCCATCCTCCACTGCTTTCCCAGGCCATAGCAGAGAGCTTCGTGGAAAGTGGAGCAGCTAGGTCTCGAACTGGCGCCCACTTGGGGATGCCGGTGTTTCAGGTCAGGGCGTTAACCCACTGCGCCACAGCACCCACCATCCACATTGTCTTTTCAATGATGCTTCATAGGCTCCCAGGTGCACGAATATCATGTTGGTCCTCTCATCTGCCCACAATCATTACGGGGTACATTTGGATTTGCATCAGCTGCACAAATGCTTGCTTTAATATTTCAGGTATAGAGAGGTAGAATTTACATAGAGAGCAAAGAAGGAAAGGACTTGGGACCTCATACTGACCCAGCAACTGTGTTCTAGGAGTTCAAATCAGAAACTTGAGGGTCACCTAGGCCCAGTTCCCACATCTATCACTAAATCCTCTCCTTTCTAACTCTTAATTAGCCTCAATTTCATCCTCTTCTCTCTACTTTCGCTGTCATTGTTTTAGTTTAGGCAAATATCATTCTAGTTTGACACGCTTGTCATAACTTCTGTTATTAGACTAACACTAGTACTGTTGTAACAGAATACCACAAGCTGGATGTCTTAAACAGACACGCGTTTTCTCACAGTTCTGCAGGTTAGAAGTGTCAGATCAAGGTGTTGGGAGATGCGGCTTCTGGTGAGACTTCTAGTCCTGGCTTCTAGATGGCTACTCTCTGAGTTTGTCACATGGCTTGGTTTCTAAGCACAAAGGGGAAAAGGGAAGGGCGGGAGAAGAAAGAGAGAGAGAGAGAGAGAGAGAGATACATCTAGTGTCTCTTCATTTTAAGGACACTAGTCCTTTTGCATTAGGACCCAGCCTTATGACATCATTTAACCTTAATTACCTCCCTGAAGACCTTATGTGCAAATACAGCCACAGTGAGGTTAGGGCATCATATGAATGGGGAGACAATGGGGGTGCACAGTCTAGTCCAATGATCTCTATGGTCTGCTGATCCTGTCACTTCTTTGCTTAAAATCCTTCATAGTTCTATGTATCTTAGGATTCACTGAGTGGAGAAACGACTGCCTCTGATCATCTTCAGGGGATTTCAGGAGCTTACAGAGTTGAAGGGGCGGCTCAAGGTCCGGGTGTGGAATGAGATAGTTCCTGAGAATCCCTGGGTTTATGGCTTGGACACTTATGCTGCAATGAGGGAACCCTTTGCTTCTCTCCTCATATTACCAAGTGTTTGGCTGAACAACACTGTGAGCATACTCAGTACCATTCAATCGCGCACTTAAAATTATTAAGATGGCAAATTTTATGTTGTATATATATTTTACCACAATAAAAAAATGAACAATGATCATACAGCCAAATACTAAAAATATCCTGGAAGGCAATTTTAGAACAATAAAATGTAAATGTAGCCTTTCATGTGTTTAGGGATTAGATCACACATGGTATATATGAATTTAAGTAAGTGTGATCAAGTTAAATAGCATTGACGCAGTTTTGTTTGACTTTGGAAGTAACAAAGAAAGAAACACACGGAGAGAGAGGCAGGCAGCGACAGGATGACCAGACCCTGAGAAGTCTTCCTGCCTTCAATGACTGCCTCTTTTTTCCAGGCTTTGTCCCTTTTATGAACTAAGCACTGAAAGGATTTTTAGAAATCCTTATTTCTAGCATAAGCTAGATTTGCTTCCAAACAGTCTGAGGACTAGAGGAAGCAGAGCAGCGTATGGGTAAAGCAGATGGGTCATGAACTGATCATTGTTGAAAATGAGGCTGGGCTCATGGATAATTGTTATCTGATTCTTTCCAACTATTGTGCATATTTGGATTCTCCACAGTAAAAAGATTTCTAAAAAGTCTTAAAAAAAAAAGGTCTGGGACACAGAGCGTGGTTAGTCCAGTTTGAGTTCCACGCTCACTCCTTGACTATATGAGGGAAGTGAGTGTAAAGTGTGGGGAAAAAAAAGCCCACAGGGACTTGGATTTTTCTGTACCAGCCAAGCACTTGGCTTTATCATTCTGTCAATGAGACATGCTGAGGATGATGTAATTCCCCCAACAGACATTGGGGTGCAATAGAAGGAAGAAGCCTGGCCAGCTGTATGATGACAAATGCCCACTCCTCTGCGTGCCGTAAGAGGCAGTTTATTGACTTTCCTTCTTCGCCTCCTGTCACCTCTGTTGAACCCTGCAGTCCCCAGCCCAGCCACCTCGTGCTTTCATAGACCCTTCTCTCTTCTGACTCCGTGCCTTCCATATGTCCTACGTACCTGAGAGGTCCCTCTGCAGCTCGTCCCCTGTGTCCGCTTATCCTTCGGACTCCACTCCAATGTCATCTTCCTTGTGTTTCCCAGCAGAAGCAGGTGCTTGGATGCCTCTCAACTCTGCGTTGCAGAATAACACAGCACTCAACAGGAGAACTGATGAAAACACATTTAGCTGGACCCTGTCCTTAGAGTTTCTGTTTCAGTAGGTCTAGGAAAGGGCCCCAGAATTTGTTCTTCTTGCAAGTTCTCAGGTGAGTCCAGTGCTGCTGGTCCAGAGACCACACTTTATGAACCTTTGCTTTAGAGCACTAGCATCCAAACCTGACTACAGCTTTGCCTGTACAACTGTTAAGAACTATAGATTCCAGGAGCAGGTGTTTAGCCTAGCAGCTAAGATGCTTTCATCCCACTTCTGCAGAGTACTTGGATTTCATTCATGGTTCCAGGGTCTACTCCAGCTTTTTTTTTTTTTTCTTTAAAGATGTATTTTATTTATTTGAATGACAGAGTTACAGAAAGAGGTAGAGAGAGAGAGGGAGAGAGAGAGAGAGAGGTCTTCCCTCCGCTGATTCACCCCCCAAAGTAGCCTCAATGGCTGGAGCTGAGCCGATCTGAAGCCAGGAGCCAGGAGCTTCTTCTGGGTCTCCCATGTGGGTGCAGGGGCCCAAGGACTTTGGCTATCTTCTACTGCTTTCCCAGGTGCATTAGCAGGGAGCTGAATCGGAAGCGGAGCAGCCCGGACTTGAACTGGTACCCATAAGGGATGCCAGTGCTGCAAGCCAGGGCTTTAACCTGCTACGCCACAGTGCAGGCCCCTAATCCAGCTTTTTGCTAACGCAGATTCTAGAAGGCAGTAGTAATGGCTAAAATTAGGTTCCTGCCACCCATGTGGATTACATTCAAGGCACCTTGTTCCGGTCTTACCTTGGCCATTGCAGGCATTTGGGGAGTGAAGCAGCAGCCTGAGACTCTGGCATCCCATATTAGGTGCTGGTTCAAGACCCAACTGCTCCACTTCCAGTCCAGCTTCCTGCAAATGTGCTCCTGCCACCCATGTGGGAGAACTGGATAGTTCCAGGCTCCGGGTCTGGACCTTGTGGCATTTGGGAAGTGAACTTGTGAATGGAAGATCCCTCTTTCCCTGTCTCTCACTGTCTCTGTCATTCTGCCTTTCAGATAAACAAAATAAATCTTTTTTTAAAATATAGTAAAGTATGGATTCACACATCAACTGCTGGTCTGCAGAATCAGATACTCTGAGAGTGGGATCTAGAAATCTGCGTTTTTAATAGGTTCCCCAGCTGTCATTTTTATAGTGTTCCTGGCCATTTTTGGATTAGCACTGGGGACCACAGTGTCTGTAGACACTGATTAATCAGACCTCTTTCCCCTACCTTTAGGCCAAGACAAAGAGAACCTGGCATATTACTTCCTTATATGATGGAAACCTATCTTTGAAAACAAAACAAAACAAAAAGGATGTCTTATTATTGGTTAAAAGATTATGTTAGTGGGGCCGAGGCTGTGGCATAGTGGGTTAATACCCTGGCCTGAGGCGCCGGCATCCCATATGGGCGCTGGTTCGAGTCCCGGCCGCTCCACTTATGATCCAGCTCTCTGCTGTGGCCTGGGAAAGCAGTAGATGATGGCCCAAGTCCTTGGGCCCCTGCACCTGCATGGGAGACCCAAAGGAAGCTCCTGGATCCTGGCTTCAGATTGGCACAGCTCCGGCCATTGTGGCCAATTGGGGAGTGAACCATCGGATGGAAGATCTCTCTCTCTGCCTCTCCTCTCTCTGATGTGTAACTCTGACTTTCAAATAAATAAATAAATCTTTTTTAAAAAATATATTAATGAAAATTAATATAATTACACACAAATAATCAGAAATATTTATCCCTGTTAGCAATTCAAAATTATAAAATTAAAAGATTTCAGTTTCTACTTCTTAGATGAGCAAACAGTGAATTAATTTAATAGATTATAAAGGGTGGGTCAAAACACATACTCGGATTTAATGCTGTTGATGTTATACAAGGATACATTCTTTAAAAAGTAATTTAGAAATCTGCATCAAGATCCAAGAAAAAAAGAAAATGTTTGATTTTGTAATTGTGATTCAATGAATTTGATTCAATAATGTCATTTCTGGGAATCAATCCAAAGAAAATAGCCCATAATGTTAAAAGAAATAAATGAATATATATTTTAGTGTTATAATATTAAAACTTTAAAAAAACATAAAAACTTTGAGAGCAATCCAAATGTCTAAAAATAAGGTATTAATAAACACAATAACTTGATAGAGTACAAAATGGAAATTTAAGTGACTATTCATACAAAAAATAGATTAGTTGCCAAGATGTCCCCAGAGTTATATTCATTTGCATCCTTCCCTGCATTGTACTTGTATATTCAATGTCATTGGGAGCCAGCATTTTAGAAAACAGTGTCTTATGTTATTTTACACATTGCTTTCACAGTTTAAAAAACTCAAAATGACATTTGCAAAAGGTTGTGTTCAGTAGGGAGAGATGAATATCAAATAGCATGGTTTTTAAAAACATTTTATTGAAATACAATATATATACCATTAAATGCATGTAAGTCTACAGATAACGGAGCTTTTTGTTCTCTGAGCACACTCAACCATGGTTGAATACAAGGGTACTTCAAAAATGTTCATGGTAAATGAAATTAAAAGATAAGTTTATTTTGGTGTAAAACATTTTGAAATCCATGTGTAGGTTTTTTTTCACAATATACGTTTTCATGAATTTTTGAACACCTACCATATGCACAGATTTCAAAGATTTTTGGCACCAACATAAACTCACCTTTAATTTCCATTTTCTACAAACTTGTTGAAGTTCCCTTGTGTTTTCATTGATTCTAGTTTCTGTAATTGTAAATAGCTTAAATTTTTAGGTGATTTAATTCATGATGGCTTTGACCCTGAAAAGAACTATTCACTGAAGGCCTGATGATGTGTTGTTTTCCTCTTAGTTAATCCAATATATTTGATTTATTAATCCTGTCTGCCATGAAGGACAACTTTCTCCTGTACTTGTAGTTATCTAAATAAAGGATCAGATCTAAAACAAATCAGGAGCTTTTAAAATGTTCTAGTAGAAATTATAAACACAAATTTATTTCTGAAAAGAAATTCTAAGGCTATAATCCAAAATGGCTTTAATATTTTTAAATTATCCAAAATTATATTTATAAGATAATTTAAGAACATGGGAAAATATTGTCATGTTAAATAGAAAATCCAGTATATATGTTTTATTTTGATCATAGCTATAGGAAATAAATTTATCATGATCATAACTATGAAAAATAAGCATTTAAAATACTGCAAAAATCTCAAAAATGCTCACCTGGTTCTACTTGAAGCATGAAAGAATGGATGATTTTTCTCTTATCTACTTACGTGTATTTTTCCAAATATCTTTTATAGTACTATAGTGATCATATGTTACTTTTATTTTTAGAAAAGCTAAAAATAAAATATACAAAAATAAAAACATGTGAAAATTGAAATGGACAGAAAAGCAACTTTAATTTAAGCCATGAATTGATGAATTGAGGGGAGGAAGGAGAGAGTTAGTTTCTGAAGGGATTTGGCTTCAGGCCCAGTTAGAAATTATATCATCAGGCCTCTCTTTCCCCCTCTTCCAATTTCTCAGCTCAGCCTCCTCTGTGTAGTGACCTCATTTTATTCCATCTTCCAGGCTGCTACAGAAGTAGGTTGCTCACAGCTCTAGGCTTACATCATCTGCTTCAGGAATCCCAGTAGAAAGAGACTTCTCTCTTTCCCAATGTCTCTATATTAATTCCAGAAAAGGGCTCATCTAGGCCCTGCTAGGGCCACAAGCCCATTCCCAGCCTAATCTCAGTCTAGGGAATGGAGTATTAAGATTGAGTGGGTTTATGATATATGCACATATGTGACCCTGAGGAGAGGATCCAGTACAGGAAGAGAGAAATAGCATTAAGCCAGCCAAATTAAGAAAGATACGGAAAAAATGCTACTACACTTCACTGTCATTATCTATACACTTATCTTCCCACTCATGGAGCTGCAAAAATGTTTCCTACTAATCTAATAAAACTTCTCCCTGTGTAGATCATCTGTCAATGTGACAATGTAAAGATGCTTCCCATGGCTACTTTGTCTTAAACTCTAGGAACTTGGGATTGAATAGTTTCCTCTTGGTCAGGCAGAGATGGGGCTCCTCATGGCCCCCACAAATGTCATCTAAATTTGTTTCCCTAGAAATGAAATGAGTGCTTTGGTAGTCTTTGCGTCATAGGCCTGCACATGTGAGGAGCAAATCCTCCTCGCCCGATGTATCTGCAGATGGTGCCACTGTAGCCATCAACTTTTTTTTGTTTTTATTTTTTAATATATTTATTTATTTATTTATTTGAAAGTCAGAGTTTCACAGAGAGAGGAGAGATAGATAGATAGAGAGAGAGAGAGAGAGAGAGAGAGGTCTTCCATCCACTGTAACCGCTACAGCTGTACCGATCTGAAACCAGGAGCCAGGAACTTCCTCCAGTCTCCCACGCGGATACAGGGGCCCAAGGACTTGGGCCATCTTCCACTGCTTTCCCAGGCCATACCAGAGAGCTGGATCAGAAGTGGAGCAGCTATAACTTGAACTGGTGTCCATATGGAATGCCATCATTGCAGGTGGTGGCTTATCCACTATGCCACAGCGTCAGCCCCAGCCATCAACTTCTTGTTGGCTTGATTATGGAACCTATTGCCTTAAGCTTTGAACAATTATAGGTTTATTTTCAAATTGAGTCTTCTAGCAATACAACTCCCTTGAGATCTCAGCTGACTTTTTGCTAGTTTTATACCTAGGGATTCCACAGACGAGACAGCAGCACCAGAGAGCTTATCTCAACTTCATAGATCTTGGCTTTGCCCATCCTGTAGTTCCTATAGTGGTTAGCCTGCTCCCAACTGTATCTTTGTGGGTAGTATTCTGCACCCAACTGTATACTAATGGGCAGTGTTTTGCTCCCAAACTGTGTCCTAGTGGGCAGTGTTTTTGCCAGATGCATAAATTTTAAGTATATTTGGTGGGAAACAGGAGTTG